AGTTGACACACTCTAGAATTGCCTAGGCAGGAGTCTCAGTAGGAATTGTCTAGATCAGGTTGGCCAGTGAGCGTGTCTGTGGGGGACTGTCTTGATTACATTACTTGATATGTAATCAAGGGAAGGTCCAGCCCACTGTGGGAGGCATTATTCCCTGGGTTTGGGTCATGAACTGTATAAAAAGGGAGACAGCGAGCTGAGCACCAAGGCAAGGGTATACATGTCACCACCTGCTTCGGGCCGTAATCTGGAACAGGAGCTAACATAAACCTTTTGTCTTCTAGTTTTTTTGGCCAGGGGGTTTTATCAGAACACCAGAGACGACGCGAAAACAGCACACATCTGAATTCAATAACCACCATGCTGGGCCAGGAAGCTGGGTGCGTCAAGCCCAGACCTCAGCACAAAGATGGGGAGGTTTCACCCGATGAACCTCACCCAGGTCCTGGCAGAATGGGCAGGAGGTCTGACTGTGAACACCCTTTTGGGGGCTGCCATGTGCATGGCTCTAACACCCTCAGCATTGAGGTCCCCTTTTCTACTGGGGGGCTCAAGGGGATTCCCTATCCCCCACCATGTAACCTCATAATACTGTCACACTTATTGACCAGAAACTGGGGCTCAGAGAAGCTGCACAGCTTGGCCAGGGCTGTGGCAGTTCACTTGGGTTGGGTGACTACTAAGTCACAAGGTCTGCTCACCAAGCCTGGAACACTGGCGTGCACAGAGGCCTCATTGTCAGGGGCAGGACAGCTGCCCCTAGGACTCCCGAGACTTGGGGACAGAGAAGGGAAGTCACCTATAACCCACAGGTGATCACACCAAGACCAACGGAACTTCCTAGAACTTCCCTCTGCACTGTGCACCTATGTGCACACACACAGAGTGGGGGCAACGTCCATAAGCCTCTCCTGGAGGGAGCCACAGGGAGGTCCCAGCTACTCCTCAGAAAAGTCCTGTCTCTCAGCAACATGGAAAGGTAGGGCAGGGGTTTTGGTCAAGTACCCAGGGGTGCAGGCTCTGGCTGTCCAGCCTGTGACTTCTCTTAACTGTGACCCACCCAAGGCCTGGAAGCAGCACTTCCTGTCCCAGTCCTGGTGCCCTCTCCAGTCTCTTGGCTTTTGCTCAGGCTGTTTCCTCTGCCAGCCTTACCCATCCCCTCCTCCTTAGGTCTACTATTCTTGTATGCCCCCAGTTCTCTCCGTGGAAATTTTCCCTGATCCCGGTGCTCAGTGCCTCTTCCTGACTAGAGAAAGAAAGACTGCTGACTGGCCACCTGACCCAGAACACTAGTGCCGCTGTGGTGTGGGCCTACCAGGTCTCTGGAGCCCGATGAATGCCAGGCCTGCAATAAATGCCTCACAGATTAGGCAAGGATTTCATGAATGAGCCAGGAGAACCTGAGACCTGTGTCCCCTGGAGTCCCCAGATGGTATTTAGGAAAGAACACTGTATTGACTCCCCCCCTCCTTGGTGACCCTTGGGAGTCATGCACCTGCCTGAGCCTCTTGTCTCTCTGTAAAATGGGGTGATTACTGGCCTATCCCTCAGCTTGCATGGAACCATCCCCCTCATGAACGCGTCCTCAGCAACAAGAGCCATGATTCACTATCAACACCTCCCTGGGCCAGGCCTTCATCCAGGGATCCACACAGCTCTACTATCAAGTGGTGGCATCATTTCCCCCATGACACAGTGGGACCAGAGAGACTGCCTTACTTGCCCGAAGTCACACAGCTGAACAGCGGTGGTGCCTCACTGGTGCAGTCCAGACTTGGGACACAGTGGGCAGAGACCCAGCTTCCCCCAGCACATAGGTCCCAGAGGGGAGGGGGCGACTCTCAAGACTAACTCCATCTCACATAGTAGAAGTAGATACAAGCAATCAGCTCATAGCAGTTAACCTGTAGTGAAAGACCATCAGTGAACCTGGCAGTGTGTCATCTGCCACCTTGCTCCCTGTCCTAGATGGCCTCAGAGAACTAAGCACAGCTCCCCACAGAATGGCCTTGGGACTGTTCACATTACCAGGCCAAAGGAATCCTGGAGCATGAGCACTGGGGGCTGTGAGTAGCCCCTCCAAACCATGCCTCCTTTGTTCCCAGTTCAAAACTCCTTCCAGCAGGGAGCCCTTCTGGCCTCCTGGATCCCACCACGCCCTACCTACGGCACAGGGCACAGCTGTTCTCTCTCTCTCTCTCTCTCTCTCTCTCTCTCTCTCTCTCTCTCCCCATCCCCATTTCCACGCGCACACACACACACGCGTGTGTGTGTGTGTGTGTGTGTGTGTGTGTGTGTGTGAGAGAGAGAGAGAGAGAGAGAGAGGGAGATTTGCTCTGCCCATGCTGGCCAGCTTGTGCTCTGCTATCACAGGTCAGAGGTCGAGATGAAAGGGCCCCTTTGCTCTCTGGCCCTGGGAGCATCCAGGAACTAGAGAGGCCAGTACATCCCACGGGAGGCCACAGTGGGGGCCACTGGTGACCCAAGCTCAGAACCACTAGACGACAGTTTAACTGACAGCTGGCCTTGCTCAAGCCTCAGGCACACAGCCACCTCAGTGACGGTGTAGCCCCTCCTGACAGAGGACCACACACCTTGGTACCCCAGCCCTGGTCCCTTAGGTCACCAACCTAAGGAGCTGATTGTCTGAGGGGTTCTGAGGATCCCACCTGTGGAGAAAGTGATGGAACCCTGAGAGACCCTTCCACTCCCCCTCTCCCTCATCCTCCTTACTGGACTGTGGAGGGACATGTATGTCCCTGTAACAGATAAATGGAGTGGCATCTCTGTTACCTTGTGGCAGCAGGCACTAGATACAGGGGAGTTTTTGTGACACATTGCCATCCCCATTCTGAAAGGGGGAGAGCTAAGGCACAGAGAGTTTACATGACTTACCCATGGTCACACATCCCATAAAAGGTGAGGCAGAAATTCAAGCTCAGTCACTTTGGCTCCCAAGCCAAGCGCTTAACCTAAAACACAACTTTTTGAAAAGTGGGGCTGGTTGCAAACCACAAAGTGAAGATCCATTCCCAATTCTTGGCCTCATACCCAGAGCCTCCACCTCTCACCCTGGTCCCACCCCACCTTCAAGCTGCCCAAGTTGCACCTCCAGCCCCCAAGCCTTTGCTCACACAGTCCCTCCCAGGACGCACTCCTGCAGAGTCTGACTGCGCAGGCAGGCTTAGACACCTCCACGCCTCCTTGTCTTTGGCCTTGGCCTTCTCATGGTTGGCCATCCAGGGGACCCTCACTGGCTGCAGAAGAGCCTCATAGAGTATCACAAGCCCCAGGCAAAGACAGCAGGCTCCTCCTGGGGCAGGAAAGCTGAGTCAGCAAGCACCAGCCCTCCCTCCCTCCCCTGGGCCTCAGGAGATCCAGGCAGATCCTAAACCCACCTTGACCTCCAACCACCAGGGGACATCAAGCACAACAGCCCACGGCTTCCCAGACTTACAGTGTCCATACTGAAGCCCTTTACCCTGCAGAAACTCACGTTCCCTAGAAACACCTCAGCCTCCCTGCCTGTGAGAGCCCTTCTCCTCTCCTGGGGCTCAGGTCACCACCTCCTCCAGGGAGATTCCTTGATTGCATCGCACTGTAACGCTCTGTGCTTTCTGCCTCCAAGTATGTGTCCCCCCTCACCCTGCCAGCACCTCACACCCTGTGAGTACTGCCAGCTGGGCCCTCAAGAGAATCAATCTGTCCATCTGTAGAAACAGGGTAACAAACCAGCCCTACAGGGGTAAGAGTGGGAGAGGTTAACTCTGGGGCCTTGGACCTAGTAATGTGATGCCACGGCGAGAGTCACCATCACCACTGTCTCGGTTATCACCTGATAATCATCATACCAACACCATCATCATCTCTACCACCATCATCACCAACATCATTATTACCATCATCATCACTACCACCATCATCACCAACATCATTATTACCATCATCATCACTACCACCATCATCACCAACATCATTTCACCAACACTATCATCAACATCATCATCAACACCATCTTCAACATCAACACCATTACAACACCATAATCATCAATATCACTAATACCATAACTAACATCACTATCACATCAGCAGCAGCAGCACCACCATCATCACCAACACCATCACCATCACTATAACCAATATCATCACCATCATCATCATCATCATCACAAACATAGCTATGACCATCTAACCATCATCATCATCACAATCACCATTATCACCACCATCACCACCATGACATCATCTTCACCGTTACCACCTGTTATCATCACCATCATCATCTCATCATCACCATCTTTATCACCATCACCTCCACAGTCATCACTCTCACCAACAACAGTGACAACACAGTTACCATAATCGCCATCATTACACAATGCATTCATTGCTATCATGAGCACGAACATTTACATCACCGTCTCGTCACCTTCATCTTTGCCCCTGCAGCAGCAGCTCACCACCACAGCCAATACCATCATCACCAGAGCTTTCACAGATAAGCTGATCATTACGCAGAACAGTCACTTTGAGCCCCGCCCATGCAGGTTAGCTCAGAAAGGAGACCACAGTAAGAACAAGGGTGCGCTGTGTGCTTATTTTTACACAGCTGCTGTCTCCACACAGGAAACAGCTCCTTGGCCATCTGAAAACCCCAAACGCCTTTCCTCAGTGGGGCAGATCAATCATCACCCCCACTATCCACGCATGTTTCTGTGGAGAGGACAGGAGGCAGTAAGCAAGGCCTCCTGCCTGGCGCTAGAGGCTGATGATTGAAAGCCAGAACTCCCTCCCCTTCCAGCTGTGACACTGTCTCTGAGCTTTGGTTTCCTCATCTATGAGATGGGGATAACAGCACTCACCTGCATGTTAAACAATATGTAGACAGAGCTGATGCTACTCTTCCTCAGCTCCATACAGGGAAACTGAGGCCCAGAGGGTGACAGTGACCTGCCGACCGGCCCTGGCTTATGTGAAGGTGGGACGGGGTGCACTCACCACGGGGAGCCATAGATCCTGAAGCCGCGCACGGTGACCTCCGAGTCCTGTAGGTAAATGCAGTTGGTGAGCAGGGACTGCACGTTCTCATAGTTCTCGGGCTTCAGTTTGGACACAGACGGGAAATAGTAGAAGTCCTGCTTGATGAGGTCAGCCATGAACTCCTGGTCGAAGGTCAGCTCGTGGTTGCCGGCAATCACTATCTTGTACTCGTAAGGCAGGCTGCCTGTGGGGTGGACACAGACACACAGCAGAATGCTGGTGGCTCTTCTGGAGGCCACAGAACCTCTGAGGGAGGAGAGCAGGGGACAGCTCAGGAACCCCTGAGCAAGGCACCCCACTGCCTCCGACCTGTGCTCTAGACTGGAGCAGGCAGCTGCCCCATCACTGCTCCCCTGGCCTTACCTGCCCAGGCCGCAGAAGCTATCGGAGTCCTTGAGCGGGTGGAGGAGGGCAGGGTCTTCCCCAGTATCTGAGCTAGAGTGCCCAGCCTCATCCCTGGGCTTCTCCACTTCCCTTTCCTAG